AAGAAAACATTTGTTGTATATCTTATTTAATTTACACATGAGAGCACAGACTTTTTATAAAAAATCACAACATTTTCAGTTGCTTTATCAATGCGTGAAACTAAATGGTATGTTTAGAACGGGCCATTTGAAAATATAATCCATCAGCATCTCCATTACTTGTAAGAGTTCATCTTTATCATCATTGTTATTATTATCTAATACTCATCAATTTATATTTCCACATATACACTCATATTAACACATTAATAAAAACAAAGTGGAAAGCTCCCTCCTTATAGTAGACACTCTCTGTCTGAAATGAGAGACAGATTCATGTGAGGAAGAAAAAAAAAAACAAAATGAAGAGACAATAAAGATCTTTATCAGATCAATGTTCAAAGAATTGGCATTTCATCTGACAACCCCTGTGAGGGTGCTGGAATCTTTTTTTTTTTTTTTTTTTTTTTAATAAATCATTTCACCCCAAGCAAAGCAATAAAGCCACTATGACACAAGGGGTTATTGAGTGTCAAAGGATATTAAAATATCTGAATATCTACTTTCAATGCTTAAGAGTTGTAGAACTAGACATTTTGAAAGAAGAGTTACCTTGATATGGAAGGCTGGCATTTTGGGATTCATCGTCACTTAGAATAAGATTCCTGATTAGTTTCTTAATCTTTGGTCGATTCTGGCTTTCAGGAACTGAAAGAATAGAAAGGAAAAAAAATTAAATTTTAGATTGTTGTAACCTAGGGAAAGTTACTGAATAGAATAATCACACAAAGGTTGGTGATGAACGATAATACTTAGGACAAGAACAACACATATAAGATTCACCAGTGGCACATAGAAAAAGTAGTCAACTGCTAGAAGTGAATCAAGTGAATTCTACAATGAATCTCCAACTACAGACCAACATACAGTATTTACTACTGTATTTATGTGAATAGGGACATGCCCATTATTGTCAATAGGTATGCTACAACATAGATAATTTATTTTGACAATAGTATGACAAATTTATTTTGTCCCAAAATACATATCAAACAATTATTTGTTCTTTAGCTCTCCTTGTAACAGGACACTGATTCTGTTTAAACTTTTTAAAGACATGAAATTACTGGATGGTGATTTGGAGAGATTACTAATTGGATGATAATTGTTAAAATTCTCAGGAAAGTGGGTTGAATGGTTAAGAAAATTAAAAACGAAATCTGTTAAAATTTACATTTTAAAATAACAAAAATGAATTTAAGAACAGTTCCAAAGAGAATCAAACCCAGATTTAACAAGACAAGAATCAAGACATTGACAAGACAAGACATTGACAAGACAAGACATAGACAAGACAAGACATTGACAAGACAAGACAAGACATTGACAAGACAAGACAAGACATTGACAAGACAAGACAAGACATTGACAAGACAAGACAAGACATTGACAAGACAAGACAAGACATTGACAAGACAAGACAAGACATTGACAAGACAAGACATTGACAAGACAAGACAAGACATTGACAAGACAAGACATTGACAAGACAAGACAAGACATTGACAAGACAAGACATTGACAAGACAAGACATTGACAAGACAAGACATTGAGCAAATCCCAAATTCCCAACACTATCCACTTCTCATCAATAAGAAAGAAATAATGTATTGTTTGAATTGTTTGGGTCCTTAAACAGTTGTTGTTTACAATACATTATCAGTAGAGAACGTGTGTGTGTGTTTGTGGAAAATAATGATTTAAATTATTCTAGACAAAGAACCAGGAAACATCTTGACCCCCCAGGAAAAAAAATATCTTTACAGAAAAATAATTAGAGAGACTTTGAATATAAAAGTGAAACACCATACGGCCAATTAGCAAGATCGCCTAAGATTAGGATGTGCCTTTTTCAGTGACAATCACTGCAATTATTATATTTGTCATTATTTTGGATTTCTGGTGTGAGTGAGAAAAGTCAAATTGTTAATTTACGGGAATATGGAGATAATCAGACATACGAGTTGACAATTGGTCTCAAAAAGAAAAAAACAATTATTACTCTTACAATAAAAAAAAGAAAATCATGCCCTCCCATCTTCTTCAAGTCAATCAGGGTAATATTTAAAAAATTTCAAACTGAACCTTTTATTTAATATACAGTAATAAACTGTTCTTATTCCACTATGTCTAGGGGATATCTAATCTTGTTCTTTTTTCAATACTGCTCAGTTATTGCTAGTCCCTAGTCTGAATCTGTACTACCCAGCTCAAGGATCAAGCTCACAATTATTATGCCTCCAGATTAATAAATCCATAACTTTAATTCTTTAGGCTATTGTCCCTGAATTCCCTGAAGAAGGTCATAAAGCATAACAGCTGAAACATTGTGATAACAAAAATGAGATCAGTGACTGCAAATAATGTAAACTAATAGTATCTGTGAAAATTTCAGTTTTTTTATTTGAATTTCCTGATGAATCTTAATTCTAAAGTTAATGATTGATTGAATAAGTTCCTTGTGAGATCCAGGACTATAAAATGCCGACAGAAATTTCCTGATTACAGCATTAAATATTTGGGCTTAACAACTTTAATAAAAATATTGCAATATGTATGAATGCAGGTCATTATTTAAAGAAGTAAGAGGATACAAATGAAAAGATTTAAAACTGCCAAGTTTTCTACGCTTCCTCTATCTTCTATTTCCCTTACTGAAACCAAACAGCATCTCTGATATGTATTTTCCATCTTCCCTCACAATCAAAATGGAACAATCCATTATTTATGAAGTGTTGGCAGCAATGGTCATATTAAGGGAGAGACGCAGAATTCCTAATTCCAGATGGAAAATAATATTTCCCTGTATAAACATGGCACAAGCCCAACCAATTATTGTGGTGGGAAAAGGAGAAAAGTTATTTTCTATCCGACTCTGGTTTTATTTGTGAGTAGCAGTAGAGCCCGGCGTTGCCCGGGGATGTAACAGTAAGAGATAGATCAAGTATCAACCATCATAAAGACTGAAAAATAAAATTGACAAAGATTATTGTTTAAGGTTGACGGACACGCATGTCTTAATTTTTTTTTTTTTTTTTTATACGAATTGGTCAAACCCAAACTCAAACAAAGACATTGCTTTCAATCGTTATGAGTCTACCGATTGAATAGAATTATTATAAACAATTGCCTTGTAAATGGAATTTTTAAAGCATTCTGAATGTAAAAATAAAGAAAAAAGTGTGCAAGACAATAAGAAACACAACCTGCCAAAAAAAAAGTGAAGTTTTGTTGAAATCGGTTGAAAAATGTAGGAAATTCAATCCCATATATAAATGAACAAACACACACAAACAACCAACCTAGGTTTTATAATAAGTATAACTCAATAACTCGATATTAATAAGTATAACTCAATATGAGTTGTCCCCTTTCATTAATGCCTCTTAATCGTGTTTTCAAATTGATTTTTGTGCAAAAACAATTGTGTTTTTCAATTTTGGCACTGTCAGAACCACCGCAAAGGTAATTTTACGTAGTCCTGTGAAGTTTTGTTGAAATCGGTTGAAAAATGTAGGAAACCGATCCAATATATAAACGTACAGACACACACACACAATCTGCGTTTTATAATAAGTAAGATTCATTCACCAAAACAGCTCATCTTTTATTTTGCGAACATACAACAGGCCTTCTCCCAGCTTTTCACCGAGCGGCCAAGAACTACCACACACATTACATCTCGATTCTAGTTTATGTCAGTGTGCACCAAAAACTGGGAAAGGCCAGTTACAAGCTTACAAGAAAACAAGATGGAAAATAAATGCCAGCAGCAAGAAATGAGGACTTGAACATAGTCTCCAATATGTTTAGGTATTTAATTCAAAGATACCCTTGCACAATCTGAATGGGTAGGTAAGTTCCCCTTGAGACAAATTCCGCCATTTCAGACTAACTGTGAAGGGGTAGTTCAGAACTACACACAATCCCAACTGTGGCCATTAATATAGGCCCACAACCAAAAATCATCAATATTCAGTTTGTTGTCACTTGACCCCAATAGGTTTTTTAATTTTTTTTATTCCCTTTCAGTCAATTGGTCAACTAATTTGAACACCATATCTCACAAAATTATCACTGATCATAAAACACTTGAACTAAGTAAATAGGGCTTCGATCAGGACACATAGCATCCACACACTTCTTCCATTCAAAACAGTCTTACAAACTCATGTTTTCTCCATCTGCAAGTCCTCTTTGTTATCATGCCTGATACAGTGTCTTGCTAGACATATCCTTCTTTGTAGCACCTCTGGTAAATGACCATATAATTCTGCATTTGATATACGACTTCTCCAGGAGACATTATCCTGAGCATTCTCGAGTTACACTCATTTGACCATTTCTTCAGACATTTGACCATAGACCACAATGATGTACCATAGAGCAAGACAGATTCCACTCTTGCAACAAAAAATCAGAAACTCTTGAAAACAGGATGAAATCTCAGACTTCCATTTTATGTGGATGTCTCATGCCACAATTTTCCATGCATCACAATCTATAACTTACTTATTGAGTCGGAATCAGAATCCCCATGTGAATCAAAAAGAATTTCTTCCCGTTCCTCTCGCTTCTCTTTTGACTGAACATCATCATCATCATCTTCTGCATCTTCTTCATGTTCTTCATCCTCGTCGTCTCTATTCTGCTCCTCCTCCTCCTCCTCTCTGCTTCTTCATCAACAAAGGCATTATGCTGGAAAGAGAAGAGGAAATAAAAATACTTAAAATTTTAATTCTAAACATAATTTAATATTGATGAATGTTATGACAGTATGAGAAGAAATAAAGCCCCAAAAAGAGTGTGTTGCTTCAATCTTTCAAGCAATGACCATGTTCAAGTCTTGGTAAAAAAGCCGGGATTTTAAATATGGATTTTCTTGGCAGGTAGGCTTACTCCAATTGGAAGGTTTGTAACATGGAACACATTCTTATCCATTTAGCAATTATTGCAATGATTAATAACTTGAAAAAAAAGGGGGGGAGGGGGAGGTAGGGAGGTAGGGAGGGGGAAAGATTAGAGAAAATCAAAATAGATATGATGATGAATTTGTGAGCATCTCAAAAGAAGTACATTAAAGACAACTTTGGCAGGTTGTTTTCTTTGCTGATATTAAATGACCGAATGCTTTCCAGAAATATGTCATGTTATTTTACCAATATATCAACCACTATATGTCATTATTGCCAAAACTGTTGATTTTGTTCTGCAGCCTGACAACCTTCATGGGCCAGTCAATGCTGAAATCCAAATATTTTATGCCAGCTTAAAAGCATTAATATTTAAGTTTACCTTTTAAAAGTTCAATGATAATTCTCTTGGCGCCTTTTAATTTAACCATTATCATGCTGGAGGCAAAAATTGTCACCATAGAATTCTCTCCCTTTAGTACTCTAGGTGCATTATGTCGCCTTGAGACGATTGCTATAAATAAACACTTCTCAACTGTTATTTCTGGTATATTAAGCTGGAAATCACTTACTGCTGCTTTGGAATGAGGCTAAAATTCCATTTTCCGATGCCATTTTGACTTCTAGACTTTACACAAGGTGTAGCATCGATTAAACCCACATTAATTTTTTCGCAATTTTGTAAACATGCAACAAAGCCTTTATTCAAGAACTTTTCTATGATTCAGACTCCATAGTGGTTAAAGATGATAACTACGCTAGTAATGTGGAGGAAACCAATGATGACAACTAGATACCGACCAGTTACAATCATCCATAGCTGACTAATTTTATGTAAGCTACTGGCAGCCATTGATATACCTGAAAGCCTTTCTGAAGGTGAATTATTTTGTCTATTTATAAACGATGAAATAATAACTTTATTTGTCAACAAAAGAAGACAAAAGACAGGTGAAAGAAAGAGCAAACAAATGCTGGTGTTTTCTCGTATGTAAACACGAGTAATCACGTCACTTCCTAAATGTTCCGTTTCTTAGACAATGGGAATTATGTGCCAGTTTTATTTAAATTGTGAATACAGGTGGCATGCTCGTTTTTTTTACAAAAATGCAGAGTAAAAAAAAAACACATCTTTGAAACAGTTTATATTGGTCCCGTTTTTCCATTTTATTTAGATAGATCTGTATGTCTTTCAAGGGATGACGTGTGGAGATGACTATATAATTGAAAGAGCATTTACAGAGTGCGATGGTTAAATTGTCACCATTTTTTTTTTTATTTTGCACATGTGCATTGTTTGTTTTTGTTGACTGCAAGGCATAGTAGGGTCAGTTGGGTACTGTCTGTGAGAAAAAGAGAACCATGACACAATTCAACCCGGCAGAAATTTGGCAAACAGCATGCTGTATTGCTTGGCATTGGCGCCGGAAGCTCCAATACAAAAATTTCAGTGTTTGGGTGTCAATCTGAGGACAGTACAAAGGATTAGGAAAGAGAGGAGTCTAATGGTGATTATGAAGGTATGGCAGCTCAGAAAATTCACTCTGGTAATTCTGATAAGAACTCCTGAATTTGTTGGTGAGATCCAGGCCACAATTGACAATGATCCCTTCAAGTCAAACAGGTCCATAGCGAGAGACACAGATGTGTCTGAGTTTCTTATCAGGCAGGTATTGCATGAAGACATTTGGTATTTCTCATACAAGATAAGGGCCAATTTTTATTCAAAGTCATGAAGAAGAGGAAAGACAGTGCTGCAAAAATTTCCACTTTATATGTACTTAGAGATTGTTGACAAAATCCAAAGAATAATCTACAATGTTCTTGGTCCTGACCCGGCATCTCAGCTTCAGTCACTTTCACACCTGTGCCTTTTCTATAAATATTTTCATGATAATTGTTTTGATGTGTTTTCTTCATTGCTCCTTAGAGTTTATGAATTTAAGTGCAGTAGCAGATTGGTGGAAAGGCCTCATCATTTTACAGTTGAAATAGATGTAAGTTCTATGCTAACAGTTTCTTCTCTCACACTTCTCACTTGAACTTTACTTCTGGCTTGTTGCTTTCCTGTCAAAGCTACAATCTTCAAAAATTTAAATACATCAATAATCATCATCTGTCTCTATTAACCCTTTTTTTTTTTTGGCCTCGGCAATGCTTTCTCAATTTCTTTCCCTCTCAGTAACCCCATGCAGCTTAGTGGTTTTACTACCTTGCTTGAGGAGAAATGATGTAAAAATGACTTTTTCACACACACACAACCATTTCATTTATACAAGATAAGAGAATTACTTACTGTTCGTTTCTCTTTACCATAATCTTCACCCAGATCATTCTCTATGAGGTCTTCTTCAGAAACATCAGTGTCAGAACCATCAGTTAACTCAGCCTCCTCCTCTTCATTTTCTTCCAGCTGATCCTCAAAACCATCTTCATTATTCAGGTTAAAAATCTCACAGCGTTTCTGCCGAGCAGACTCCCGTTTGACACGCATCTGTTGTTGTAGCTTGTCTTTTAATAAAAGCAGTTTCACGCCTGAACAGGGAAAAGACAAAAATAAAATAAAATAAAAATAAAATAAATAATAATAATAATTTAAAAGAAATAAAAAGTAAGGTGGGAGACAAACAACATTTGATATATAATAGATTGTGTCTTTCCATCTGGAAAGACAAACATCTGGCCAAGAACATCTGTCGGAAATTGAAGATCAAGACTGTTGCATGCCTTCTCGACCTTTCTGTATGTCTTCAAATTTTGGACATCAATAGCAGAATTACAGCAAAGAATACAAATATTTGAAATAAAATACTACATAGCTATCCAAGGTATCTCCTACATAGACTGCATCACAAATGATGCAATTAAAGAGACCATCAAACAAGGAATAGGCCCATTTGAAAATCTTATATCGACCGTCAAGAAGAGAAAACTGAAATGGTATGGACACATCAAAAGAGCCAACCTTTCCACTGCCATCCTACAAGGTATCACCTTAGGCAAAAGAAGAGCCAGAGGAAAAAAAGATGGGCTGACAATGTCATTAAAGGCACTAAAAGATCATTCACATTGACTCAAACATTGGCACACAACTGAGACATTTAGAGGGAGATGGTCAGGTGCTCAGCTACACAGCAACCCTATGACCACACCCATTCAGGGACCAATATTGATGATCCAATATTTAAATACCATTTTACTTTGTAAGGTTTATTCAAATTGCTGAATCCATTCTTTGTGTTACTTTTGTTCTGATCACATTTCAGTCAATCCATTCTCCAACCATCTTCAGGTGTACAATATGGAGGATCCCACCTGTAATTTTGAGAAGAGTCATTATCATTCCAAGAGTTGTCCAAGACTACTGAACACCTTTGTGTTACCTTAATTGTCTTGGCTGATCACTTCTACAATGTTCCTCAAGTATACAATGTAAGAAGAAAAGAAAAAAAAAAAGAATTTAAAGAATAATTAAAGAGGATCCAAATATTAGAAATGAAATGTCTTACAGAACCATTCTAGAAGCATCAAAAGGTTTCTTTTTTTTATTTGAGAAATGAATAATTCACAATCCCACCTGTAATTAGTCATTATACATTGTCCAAGACTACTGAACACCATCTAACAAGAATTCAGCTGTATGGAGGATCCCACCTGTAATTTTGGAAGATCTCAAGATCCACCATCAAAAAGAAAAGCTGAAATGATATGGACATCATTTTTGAGAAGAAATTTCATTAAGGGCCAAAATATCTCCAATGTTCCATACAAAAGAAGAAAAGACAAAAGGTTTTCTTTTTTCTAGAAGGAATAATTATGGAGGATCCCACCTTAATTTTGAGAAAGTCATTATCATTCCAAGAGAAAAAAAAAATTGTGGGCTGACAATGTCATTAAAGGGACTGGAAGATTTCATTCACAGAGACTCATTTTGGAAGTCATTATCAAGTTGTCCAAGACTACTGACATATGTTACCTTAATTGGAGCAATGGTCAAGTATACAATGGTAAAAACAGAGACAAATGAATAATTTGTATTTTTCTTCCAGATTTTGAGAGAAATGAACCACATCCAGTCATTTTAAAACATTATCGGGCTTGGGGACTCCACACCATTAAATTCAGCCTTGTACAAACATCTGACTGCAAAAAAGGTTTTCTTTTAGAGACCTTAACCATCATAGGACTCAAAATGATTTGAAATGTGTACATAACAAAAAAAAATACCTTAAAAATAAAAAAATACAAATGACAATGTGTACACCCAGACAAACTTTGCATTTGAGAGAAATGAAAAGACATAAAATTATTATATTCCAAGAGTTGTAGATTTTAGTAATGTATACAATGTGTGAAGAAAAAGACAAAACGTCTGAAAATACTGAAAAACAATGTGAAGAAAAAAGACAAATCAGATTTGAGAGAAATGAATAATTCAGCTGTATTTTCCAATCCAAACTAAAATAATCATTCATTCACTTCTGGTCTCTGTCAAATTAACCTTGTCTGAATTGAGGGTATGAGGTTTCAAGTTTTTTTTTTCTCCAGATTTGAGAGAAATGAATAATTCAGCTGTGTTCCCACCTTAATTTTTGAGAAGAGTCTTCTTCTTGAGCCTGTAGAAGAAAAAAGCAAAAGGATGAAATGAATAATTCCTGTATGGAAGATACCTTCTATCATTTTGAGAAGAATCATTATCATTCCAAGAGTTGTCCAAGACTACTGAACACCTTTTGATGAAAATGAAACAATGTGTAAGAAGAAAAAGACAAAACTTTTCTTTTTCTCCTCATTCATTTCTGGAGGATCCCACCTGTAATTTTGATTTTATATTTATTGAACACCTTTGTGTTACGTCCTTTGCCCCTGGTCATAAGCATATACCTGTAATTTTTCAAATAAATAGATTTTATTATAACTTTTAAAATATGTCCCTATTACAATGTTTGAAGAAGAAAAACAAAAGGTTTTTTTTTTCTCCAAAAGAAAGAATAATTCATGTATGGAAGATACCTTCTATCATTTGTCATTATCATTCCAAGTAATTGTCTTTAAATTAATGTTCTCAAGTATACAATGTAAAAGAAGAAAAAATATTCCAGGAGAAATGGAATCAAAAGGTTGGCCACCCCTGCTGTAAGGGCTTCTCCTCCTCTCCTTGTAGATCAGACGTTTATATAACTTCCTGTTTATCTGCTTGTCTTGTGTATGCAAGTACAATGGACTTTAAGAGCAAAATCACAAAGAATCCAAGTATTAGAAATAAGACGCTACAGAATGATCTTAGAAATCTCTTATGTAGATTGCAAGACACCATCAAACAAGTAATATATATCTCTCTCTCTTTCTCACACACAAGGAAAATTAATGACAAAGTGGAAAAAGGACAAAATGGGTCACATGAAAAGTTGAGATATATATATATATATATATATATATATATATAAGCCAAGTTTGTACCTTTTCTTGTACTAGAGTTATCTCCTTTACAGTGACAACAACAAGTAGCAGTGTCTTTTTTTGTGATAACAGAGGGCTGTTACAAGCTGTTTACAAAGAGGTGAAAAGATCAACTTCATTAAAGAGAAGAATAGTAAAATGTAAAAAAAAATGTAAGATGCCCTCATTTTTGACAGCATGGATAATCTAGTACAAAAATAATCCCTGTAGTCAATAATCTAATTGAAAATTTTATAATTGGCTCAGATTTTATCATCATCATCATAGTCTGTGTAAGGCAGCTTAGTTAAACAAGAAAAAGCTCTACATTAATCTTACCAGGTTTATCAGATTTAAGCTTCAAGTGTTCAGGTTCGTCTGTCTGATATGTAATTGTATTGAGGCAAAGTTCCTGTTTATTTGTATCAGTTTGTTCCTTCTGGATGATTCTAGAAAGTCAAAGAAAAAGAATAAAATTTTAAGTAACAAATTAAATAAAATTTCTGATACCAAACAATTCATGAGAAAACGTTTGGAGGAAAAAAAAATAAAAAATAATATATTATATACACACACACACACACGTGTTCAATTCCAAAGCACAGCAAATTGATCACCCAGACATCCAACTGCTAGACATCAAAATATCCACACTTCAAACAAAGACTCCTACAAGAGAAATATGGTAAAAATATTTCTACTTATGTCCTAGTCATAAAAAGTAGAATTTTACATTGTTTTAAACACAAAGGTCAGGTCAAGATTATTGTACCCAATACATAACCTCAACCAAGTGGCACCCCTCACCTAGGCGGAATTTCACATTTTCAAGGAGACAGGGAAATCTTTTTATTTACAGAATTTTGTTTATTGAATTACAATATTCTGGCATTCTATTGAACTTTTTGTTTATTCAAGTATGCTTGTTTTTATTTATTTAATAATTAGTTATGAATTCAAACAAATTACTGAACATGTGTTAAAATTAAAAACTCCATCAACGTTTTCTATTGCTATTAAATTTGTAAAACTCTTCTATGAAAATAATGCATGCAAACTTATACTCCATCACAATTAAATCTCTTTCTGACCCATTCTGCTGACTGGCCGGATGTGAACGCCACAAAGGCAGAGAACGAAATAACAAAAGTTGTTTTCTGCACATTAGGCTCCACACATCACATCCAGTTTACGAAGCAAGCTCCAGCAGTCGCCAATCACGAATGTTCCCACTGGAGAGGGGCATGCTCCTGGAGACTACCGGACCTGCTTAAAAGCAGGTCTCCGAGAATGACCAAATGCAGTTATGGCCCGATGAACCACCAGTACAGGGTACTGCTGCTGCCACTGCAACATTTCACCACCAGCACTCCCACACCTAACTAACCACCTCTACTATCCAGCTTCGCATTGATAACCTCTCAAACTCATCACTTCAGCAGATATCAGCCACAAGCAGCCAACCATCCAGCTTCAACACCACCCAGCTACAAGCCTTCATCGTCGACAACACTGTCACCCGAGCCAATACATACATAACATTTCAACTTCAATAGCATGTCACCTAAGCAAATCTGACTCCACAAATATGCAACCCACTTGATCCACCACCGTGATACCAATCCAACCACACCTTGTCACCCAGGCAACTGACCACTGCCACCCCAGCCTAAACTCATTTACAAGGCATTCCATTCGCAGTTGCCACCGCACCCCTATTCAACAGAACAGGCACACCAACCACACCAATCCAACATCTCCCCAGTTCCACAAAACAGGCCTATCAACCAACGAAAACGACATACCACCATGACTTCGAATTAACTAACACAGACACCAACCATATCCAGTGACTTCACACCAAACCTACAAAAGAATTGTCAACTCCCAGCACTAACCTTACACTTGACCTCCATCCTGATGATTAGCCAATGAAATGGACATTCCACCCATCTTTCAACATCTTTGTATGGCATACTAACAATAAACATTGTTCAAATCTAATCTTCATTATTCTTTTCTCAAATGGTTAATATAACATATATGTACCAATATGGAAAAGAATGAAGACTTTTTAAGAAATATATGCATATTATTTGGAATGCAGTCTTGAAAGAAAACGAATACTCAATGATAAAATTTATTTAAATTTGCAGAGCCAGTATGTGTGTGCATGGAAATGTATGCATATGGATTTTTTTCAGGTATTAATTTCCAGCTAAAATATTTTTATTTTATATATGTATGTATGTAGACCTACAAACTAATGACTTTAAAATTACCATCACCCTCCTCAAAAAAAAAAAAACAAAGCTGCCAGATTGGCAAGATTCAATCTAAACTAATTTTTGTGTAATATGTATGAAAACTCTTGACAGCCACTTTCATATGATCCTGAAATATGAAAGCTCTGAATGGCCATAATATTTCTTAGATTTTTAGAAATATCTAATAGAAATAGTAGAAATATGTCTTACTTGATATTGACTTTTTTGTTCTCTTTCTGTTCCTTCTGGACATTGGAATGCTTCAAAAGTCGCTGCATCAGGTTGTCAAGACCTGTATTCTTCACTTTTTCAGTTGGATCATCATCAAAGACTATTGGCTGATCCCAATTTCCACTGAGTTTTGGTTTTATATTTTTCATCTTGGGTGTAAGTAATTGGGAGATTGATAATTTTGGTTTGGCAGGCGGATTCTCTTCTTTTCCTTTTTCAGCTTCCTTCTTTTCTTCATTATTTCCCATTTCTGGGACAGTAGCATCTGCCAATGTGGATTTGTCATTTGTTTGTTCAGTTTTTGCCTTGTAATCAGCTGTAACCAACTCATCCATCAGAGGATCGTCAGTCTTTAACAAACCATTTTCATCAATCAACCACATGGATGAATCGGCCACCTCTGTGACCTCTTCAGAATCACATTTTTTGGCATCCTTGACCAGTTCCCTATTTGGAATGGTCTCAAAAAGTTCTGGCTCAACAACATTCCCTGTTAAATCTTCTTCACGGGAAGGTTCTTCAGATATTATCAAATCTGGTAATTCATCATCGTCGTTGTCCTTACCTTCATTTTCAAGATTAATTTCAGGTTCTTTAGTCTCTGGTGCCAAAGAAGACTTTTCAGTTAATAGAACTTCCGGGGAAGCTTCAGAATCTTCAGTGACAATAACAGTATCACTGTTAGTGGGGTCTGAATGCTTAGGGGCTTGACTAGGAGACTGGGTGATAGGATTGTTTACAGCTGTATCCTCATTTATCTGGCTGGAAATTTCTTGGGAATTTTGAGAAGCAGACTCCAAAGACACTCGTTTAAAAAGTATAGAGTCATTTGTGATGGTATCCTGGACAAATTCCACCTTTCTAAAAGAAAAACATAATATTGTTCAAAATAACATTTCAAAAGGAAAAAAAAAAAAAAAAAAAAAAAAAAAAAAATTTTTTTTGATATATATATATATATATATATATATATATATATATATATATATATATATATATTCGTGCTCCATAGATACCCACATGTGAGCGTGTGTGCGAGTGATTTGATCACTGTATTTGGTCAGTATGTGTGCATGTTGTGTGCTTTTGCGTGTGGGGTTATGATCTATTTAGTTCCGGTTTAAATTTGTTTATGAAGTTTTTTTTCTTGTATTTGTAGGCAAGAATAATTGCCTGTTTGATATATTGGCATGATATTAAATTTACCCTGGTTACATTTGAAGATGTGTTGTGATACAAAAAGTTTTCTATTGTCTGGTAATTTTATGTTGCTTTTGTGCAGGGAGACCCTGTTGTTCAGTTGCTGGCTGATACCTATATATGACTTCTTGCATTTTGTGCATTTAAGTACATAAATCACATTTTTGGAGTTTTCCGTTTAAGTTTTTATTTATTATGAATGGTGTTTTGGGGTTTTCAAAAGTCTAAGAGTTTCCTTCTATAATGATGTCACAAACCCCACATCTTTTTTTGCTGCATTTTATGACTCCCTGTATTGTGTGTTGGTTAAATTTAGATGACGTTAACATGTGTTTTAGGTTTTTAGTATATTATTCAGTTTATTATTCTTGCTAAGTAGGTCTAGATTTTTTGTAATTTCTGTGAATATTGATGTTTGTGTGTATCTATCTCTCTGTATGCATTTATAGATGTGTTTATGTTAAATTGTATGTAAATGACTAGTATGTATAGAAGTATGAATGTGTGTGTGTGTATATAGATATGAGTGCATGTGTTTATATCTATATGTTTGTGTGTATGTATGTATGCATACACATGCACACGTGTATAGATATGTGTGTAGATACAATGCATATTTTTTTACACACACACACACACACACACACACACACATATATAAGTTTTTAGATTAAATAGTGATGATATAAATTTGATTTTCAATGTATTTCACTGGAATTTTTAATAAATTGCCTGGATGATTTAAGCCATTTTATAATTGTTCTGATGAAGCCGTTTCTGGTGTTCTCATATTTGATGGAACCAATTTCATATCACTCAAGGTGATATCATCATCCATCAAACTAATTTTCATTTTTTTTTCTTTTTTTTCTTTTTTAAAAACAAAAGTATGGAGAAAGATACCTTATTTAATATTGGCTGATTCTCTTTTATTGCAACAGCCTCCAGAATTTGGAGCCTTTCTTTGCCTTGTGTCCTATAGAAAATTTTGCTGTTATCTACTAAAATTTCAGTTTGACTATTTATGTCACCTTCAGTGACTTGAAATTGGTTCCAAACATAAGAACACAAAAAAAAAAAAAAAAAAAAAAAAGTTGTGTAGTCACTTTTCCCTCCACCGTAAGGTAGCTTCCTTGTGCCTTTTCTACAAATACTTTCATGGTAATTTTTCTGACGAACTTTCTTCTATGGTACCTAGAATTTAGGTGCAATATAGATTTGTGGCAATGTAACCGTACATTCTATGCTAACAGCTTCTTCTATTGCTCTTCTCTTGTGGAACTCTCTTCCAGCTTCTACTGTCCCCAGTCAACTCGGATCTTCAAAAATTTAAATGCAATGTCAATCATTATCTCACCTGCTTAATTCTTGCTCTTTTATTATTCTCACCTTAATATTTTTCCTCAAACTCTCTAACACTCAGTAACACCTGCATCTTAGTGGCTTTATTGCCTTGCTTGGGATGAAATACTTAAAGAAAAGAAATATATATATATATATATATATATATATATATATATATATATATATATATATATATCAGAGAAGTAACTTACTTCTGTTCATTCTGGGAGTTGATCTTTAATGCTCGATACTGTTGCTGTTTGCGCAAAGCTCTGTTCAAAAAGTCATCCAGAGACTTTGACTCAGGCTGGTGATAAGGAATCTGGACTTTGGACTCTTTGAGAAGAGAAAAGAAAAAAAAAAAAAAATATATAGATCACTATCACCAATATGATCCTACAGGTAAATAATAACTGTCACAAAATAAAGAGTTTACCTACCATATTTGACAGCATCTAAAACCCATTTACATCCCCAATACAGTTTTGAACAGGGTCAATAGAAATTTGGATTAATTTCCAATATAATTGAAATGCACAATTTCAAAAATGTCTGTTCTTGATATTACCTGCTACAAAGGAAAATCAGAATATGTCATAAAATTGAGTAAATACCAGGTTTCAAAAATAATGATGGAATGATATACCTTGGTAATTCCCCAATTTTGGGACATTGCATAACAGACAGTAACAACAAGTGGAGAATGATACCTCAGCTTAAGTCATTTCGAATTAAGTCATTTTTGAAGATACACTGGTTTTTCTGAAATATTATATGTAAAAATAAAAGTTGCCTTAATTTGTTTTACTAGAGTTTATGCCAACCATTAAAAATATTAGAAACATCAAAACACTAAAATAACAATAAACACATAAAATCATATTTAAATAAATTTAAAATTAATATATATATATATATATAGGTAGGTACCTTCATGAGATCGCTAAAAAGAGTATAGCATGATGAAAAAGACGCCAAACTTGACGAAAACAAAATTTTATCATCTAAATGTTTATGTTATCATTAAGAGGAAAGATCAAAGTATTTTGGGGGTATTTTTTTACATTTTTTAATCGTTCCTAACACATCCAAAATTTGTTAAAAATCTTGTTTTTTTTAGTCAGCAAAATTGAAGATAATCAAGCGTGTCAACCATTTTTTTCCATTTTATAAAAATAAAAAAAAATAAAAAATGAAAATCTCAATTTGAAATTCTTTTAAAAATCAATTATAATTTTTTCAAAACTTATTTTAAGAAAATCAGAAATTATAATGTTTATTTAAAATATTTTGAAACAAGCATTACTTAGTTTCTGTGCCGAAAAGATGTATTTTGAAAATAAAACGAAGCAGGTCATAACATTTTGCATCACTTGACAGGTGTCGAAAGACATTTTCATGACATATTGATAGCTTACGTGAGGATAATTTATTCTATGGAAGGAGAGAAGTGAAATTATTTAGATTTAAGTGAACAATTTATTTTTAAGGAAAACTTTCAGCACTAATTTTTTTTTGTACTTACCTTTCTTATGAAATTTTATCAGAAGTGTACATAGAATACAAAATTTAAATTTCATAAGATGATACTGATACTTGTAGGTACCCTTCACAGATGAAATTGAAAAATCAAATTAACTTCTCCACATTTGTTTTGCAAAAATAAATCTATCTCAAAAGGACATTTACGAAACTGAATGCAGCTTTTAACTAATTTTATAATATTTTAACAACTTAGATGTAAAAATCTATTATAATTAAAGAAATAACAAATAGATTGTATTAAAAATTCAGTATTTAAGTTAAATACTAGACAGAAACTCAATCCATGTGATGTTTTTTTTATTGCACGCATGATACTTCCGGTCTTCCATAGATTTGATTTGCAGTCGTATTATTGACACAAATCATATTTGTTTTATCTACTGGGGTTTGTTAGTTTGTAAACAGCTTTGGAAATTATAATCTGTAAATATAAAACTAATTAATAACAACATTCATTAAATTGTACAAACTTTTCCCTAATTTTAGAAGAATTAACAACATTTAATGTAAAAATAATAAAATATTTCAGAAATAAAAAATAATTGTTTTAAAAATTCATTTTTCCTCGAAATATCTTTTTGCTTTCAGACAATATTGTCCATGTTCATTAAAATAAATAAAAGCAATTAAAAACTTTTGAAATTAAATAATATTTTTGATTTATTGAGTTTTGTATGTTACAATTCAGAGATGATATTCAAATAGAAGTTGTCCAACTAAAAAAAAAAAAAAAAAAAAACACCATGATTTGGTTTCCTCAAAGCTTTTAACTAATATAATCACTATTCTGTCCAAATATTATAGAGTTTTCATACAATTAGGTGTGGGGGGGGGTTATACATATGAAAAAAAAAAAATTTTTTTTGATATGACTTTAAAAAAGTAAAACATATTTATAAGTTACATCATTTGTGAATAGTTTCTGAAAGTTTCATTAAAATCTGACAATTATTTTTATTTTTGCAAGATTTTCAAAATTAAATGTCTGTCATACAGAAAAAAACGCACTAAAATTAGTAGTTTCGTTGGGCACGAAGAGAAACAAGGTTTTTCAATCAAAATTTAGAATATTCTAAAAAGGTTGGAAAAATTTTTTAAAATTAAAAAATACTTTGTTCTTTCCTCTTAATAATGACACAAACATTTAGACGCCAAAATTTTCCTCATACTATGTTCTCTTTTTTTTAGCATTCTCAAGAAGAGATTATATATATATATATATATATATATATATAGTTTTAAAAACTAGGAAACCATTAATTTTAATATTAAAAGTCTCTAGAGCCCTTTCAGCCAACATCTCATCAGGAGACAATCGTTGGATTAGCGAAATGAATAGCGATATTAAAGAGCAAAAAAAGAGGGGGAAACACACTAAAATAACAAACAAGTATATATACTTGTAACGAGGGAAGGGTTATCGTGTAAATAAATAGCGAGGGACAGTTAAAATAAAATATCCCCAACAGATTTAGAGACCTTATAAATTCTTTCTGCCGCAGAGAGAAGGTTTTTAAATCCTATACAGACCGATTCCAAAATCTTCAAATGATTATTGGAATCGGCTGTATGAATAATTCTAAACCACTCTTTTTTATACAACTTGGCACAAGCTATATTCTCAACTAAATGTTGATATATATATATATATAGTGTGTGTATTTAGGCAGTGTTTTTTCATTGATGCCCGTTTCATTAAATAATATAGACAAGTTTTGTCTATTTTAAGCAAATTCCTTTCATATCATCTGATACGATTATAATCACCATATTGATATTGTCTATATTATTTAATGAAACATGCATAAATATATATATCGTAAAATCATCAAAAACAAGAAAATTAGCATAATAAAGTATGTTCAGCAGATATTCATATTTCAAATTCCTGCTGACAGGCGGCACTCGTGTTCTTTTCCACTCTAACACCAATTTTGAATTCAGACTTGTTTACATCTGTGCTCTGCCATTGACGTTCTTTCAATTACATTTCAATTGTGATTTAGAATACATTTTTGCCCACAGCTCCAAAGAAAAGTCCTTTATTCAGAATACTGTACGTCCATATCATAAATACTGTAATATGCAAGGGGGGGTGCTTATTTGCAGTTTATAGTGTGGTTATTTTGACCTAAGTCATGACCTCTTGAACCAATCAACAACATAGGGTGAGGTATACCTGTATAGACCAGAACCCAGCAGCTGATCTTTCCTCTGACCCAGCCCAAGTGGCTCAATGGAGGAAGGGCTGACTTGTAAAAGTCAATACATCCAAAACTAGTAACATTCTATCATAAAAAAGCAGACCCTGAACTTTCATCTTTCATTATTTACACTATTTACATTCAGACTATTGTCCTCATCTTTGTTGTTATAGCAACATTTCAGCCTTTGTGCCTTCCAGCTTTCATCAGGTGTATATCAATATGGGTTATAATATATGGGGGGGTGGAGAATGACATCAGTTTAAATTGATGGCAGCAGGATATAGGTACAACTTCAAATTTAAATTCAATTTCTGAGCTATCCAAACATCTCTATCTTCACACATTTTTGTAGCAAACCTGTGTGATCTTGGTAAAATATAAAGAAGAATCCGCAACGTTATCAGTCCTGACTTGGTATCTCAGCTTCAATCACTGTCTCACCATCATAACGTAACATCCCTGTGCTTTTCCTATCAATACTTTCATAGTAACTACTCCAATGAGATTTTTTTTCTTTGATACCTCAACTTTACAAATTTAAGCACATTAGGTTAGGTTTTCATCATATCACAGCTGAGATTGCAAGATATAACTAAGTTCTATGCTAACATTTTCTTTGCTCACACCACCCACTAGTGGAACTCTCTTCCAGCCTCTACCTTTCCAGTAAACTTTGATCCTTAAAAGTTTAAATGCAATGCCAATCGTTATCTTTTCTCTTCTTAATTTCTTAATGTTTTTTTTCTAATATTCTTTCACACTTAGCAACCTCTTGTGTCTTAGAGCCTTTATTGCCTACCTCAAGGTGAAATGAGAAAAAAAAAATTTTTTAATGAAATTATAAATATCTAGTCTTGGTCATGCCCATGGGTAACGAATCCAATAAAATATCCAAACAAATTTGTCTAGTCAATCTGCAAAGAGTCAAGAAAAAGAATGAAAAAAAAAAAAAAAAAAAAAAATTTTCACCTCTGATTAATCTTTGTGTTTCACTGTGCAGCTGAAGTTTTTCTTCCGCCAAAGTCTTGGAGGCTCTTGATTTCTGTTTCTTCTTTGCTCCCTGCAACAAACAGTTGACAAAGATAATCAGACTAAAACAACAATACAATGCAGATAGGTTGATATTTAGACACAAAATAAAACCCAAGCTCTGAAGTTTGAATTAGCCGACACAACCATTTCTCGGAATACATCCCGAGTATGACAAGACCGCTGCAAGGTTTCTAATTAGGAGGCTTTGAGGAGCGTAGAAACCCCACCCCCCACCCTCTGAATTCTTGTTGGTCACGGGTCCACCTGTTAGGGTCCCTACTATAGGCAAATAGTTAACCACCAAAACTGGAATCAAAAAGTATAAAAGTATAATACACTTTTGTAAATGAAATTACTAATACTCCTAAGAAAATCAAATTTTGGCATTAAATGACCCATAAGGAGTTGATATGCCACTAAACAAACCAACAAGTCATCTTATACTAACATATATGGAAAAACAAAAAGTTATCAGTTTAAACCGTTGTTTCTCAACCATTTTTTTTTCTTTTACTTTGGGGCACACTTGTGCATAACTAAAACACTGGGGCATACTTTAAATTTTATTAAGGAATAATTAGTCATTGATTTTGAAAATAAGAAAAAAGCTTAGCAGTACTTTTCATTTAAAGGGATTTATGAAGAAAGAGAGGCCAATAAGGACTGATTTAAATCCTTTAAGGAAGGCAAACAGGAAAGTATTATCCACTCCTTAAAAATTAAGAATCTTAGCATCCAGTTTAAACTATCAATTGACAAATATTTCACATAAACATGGAAGCCAAGTGCATGTTGTATCTAGCTCCTTAAAAATAAAGATTTTCTTAAATATAAAAACAATTCATAAATTACTCTTCGGATTGAAATTAAAAATATGATGACTGTATTCCCTTGGTGTTAAGAATATGATAACTGCCCCCACCCCCAAAAAAACAACAGCAACCCGCTTATTCTTCATATGTCTACCTTTTCAATTTTCATGCAAACTAAAACCATGCCTACCTATTTGGCTCTTGTGCAAAATAAACCTGTGTCTACCTTTTAAACCCCAGAGCAAACAAAACCTGTGCTCATTATTTCAAGCCTTTGTACAAAATAAACCTGTTTTTTTGTTTGTTTTTTTTTTTAATTCTCATGCAAACCAAATCTATGTTTACACTATTGAATCATACAAATCAAATGTGTATTTACCTTTATGACTCACATGCAAATCAAACCTATGTCTACTTTTGTGACAAACTTAAAACTTTATTCCAGATTTATATTTAGCTAATGGTTGTTTGACTCACCTTCTTTAGGAGTGCCTTAAGCTTTTGGCTCAAACCTTCTGTGTCAATTCCTTCATCATCTTCACACTCTTCATCAGTTCCTTTCTCACTCTGATCACCAAAGGAATTTCTATCTACAAATTAACAAATTACAAAAAATTAATTCTATCCAACATTGTTCAGAAGCTCAAATATCTTTGTGGCAAATACATGTTGGTACAGATACAAAATGCCATGGATTGCATGTGGACATGTTTGCCAATAGCAGTGACATCCATATTTTCCCCAATAACAGCAAGACAGCTTGGCATGTATAGATACAGGCCTCTCTGCAACTGGTCAAGATCTGGGTTTTTGTAAGATGCCTCATGTCAATAAAAGCAATGGGAAAACCAACCAATCAGCAGCTGGCAAGTCTTATGACATCAGCCACATGGGCATTTTTTTACCTAAAGTTGATGTGGTTTCTGAGGTAGTATTATTTTTGTTAAACTTCCTGTCTCTTTCCCCTCTCTGCCTATTACCCCTATAGCTACTGGGAGAACAAATTAGTTAGGTGTTTTCCCCCCCAACTTCAACACATTCTTGCCATACATTACAACATTTGCTATTAACACTTTGGCCGATAAAAAAAAAAAAAAAAAAAAAAAAATTGTTCTTAAATATAACCCACTGGATTAGTTTTTTTTTTTTTTTTTTACAGCATTGGGTACATCAAGTGACCAAGTGATTCTAAACTATTTTATTTTTTTTGACTTTAGTTAGTTGTGTTGAACAGCTTCTCCCAATATGTGAAGTCTGTGTCACCTGGGCATATGGGACAGGGTGCAATGGGTGTCACCTGGGCATATGGGACAAGGTGCAATGGGTGTCACCTGGGCATATGGGACAGGGTGCAATGGGTGTCACCTGGGCATATGGGACAGGGTGCAATGGGTGTCACCTGGGCATATGGGACAGGGTGCAATGGGTGTCACCTGGGCATATGGGACAGGGTGCAATGGGTGTCACCTGGGCATATGGGACAGGGTGCAATGGGTAAATTGCTACCATTTTATAAATTTAATTTTACACATGCATATTTTTTTTTGTCGACAGCACAATATAATAAGGTCAGTTAAGCCCCATCTGTGAGAAAAAGAGCACCATGACACAATTCACACCACAAGAACTTTGGAAAAGGAGCTCCAATACAAACATTTCAGAATGTTTAGGTGTCAATCTGAGGACAGTACAGAGAATTCAGAAAGAGTTGGATGAATCTAATGGTGATTATGAATGTATAGCAACTCAGAAAACTCAATGATCGTTCTGATAAGAACTTCCAAATTTGTTGGTGAGGGCTTCAGGCTCAACACTGAGGCCTCTATTCAGAGGAGGTAGTGCAGGGTGGCTGCTGAAAGATCCTATATCTGGAAACAAGACTCTGCACCATGCCACACAAGCAGGAGAACCCAGTCAAGGCTGTCAGACAATTTCTGTGACCACATCACCCCCTTACATCTGGCCACCTAGCTCCCCTGACCGCAATCCTCTTGATTATTGTCAGTAGGGAACAGTTGAGTGAGAGACCAACAAAACTCCTTGTAACACCAACGATGAACTGAAGACAAGGATTATGGCAGCATTCACCAACTTAAACAAGGAGACCCTTCAAAAGAGTTACAAGAGATTCTGAAGTCGTTTGGAGACCTTGGTTGAAGCCAATGACAATTTTATTGAATAAATTTACTCTTTAGCATTTCAAGATATTTTTGTGTAATTTAGGTAAATATATCTGTTAAAATGAGATGTTAGTGTTATTTTCATTTTTGTATAATTTAGTCAATTTATCCATTACACCCTGTATATCTGCCACTGTGAAAACACAGCAGTTTGCTTTCTTGGAGGGATTGAGTTGGTTGATTTTATCCATCAACTTTTGTTGGGTTACTTAATTTTTAAATTGGTCTTTCTTTTATTATTTTTCATTCATTATTAACTACCATTAATTTATTTGGATCCAAATGTTCATTAATTCTGGATAATACATCCAGCAGGATTACTGATTGACCTACCAATTAATACCATTCTTACATTAATTTGTAGGTGAAAATCTATTAATTAACCAAAACGGTTCAACTTTTATCTTAAGATTAAGTGGAAAAAGGAAATAGCAAATAACACAAGAATAAAATTTACCTTTGAACGGTGCATCTGTTTCAGAGTCACTGCCATTGGCATCAAAGATGTCAGCATCGAGTGTCTGGAAGTAAAAAGAAAAATTCTGAAACTTGAAACAAAGAGTTACTTCAAGAGTTCCCAAATTTACATTTTCACATGTGCCTGAGCAGACGTCTGCAACAGGGATTGGCTAGCCACTATAGTAGACAGGCACACTCAGATATGAGCAGCCAACTACTACTCTAAGCTCAAAGTTTGTCAGAATCAAAAAAAATGTTTTTTTTAGCATTCTAGAAACAGAGCCTTGTTCATAATATAAATAGTGTCAAATTGATCCTCTACTCTTTAAAGAGCCATCACTACTTTGATTTTATTTACAAATATCCTTTCCAATCATCTTTCAGGTTTTCATGGGAACTAGTTCCTCTGAAAATTCCCTAGGTGTTGACAGTTAAGATTATCCACATTATCTCATGCCTTCGCTATTTCCTCATCTTACTCACTGGTCCATGTATGTTTATCTAAATATTAAAGACATGGATTAAAGAAAAGAAAAGAAAAAAGAAAAGAAAAGAAAAAAAAGAAAAGAAAAAAAAAAAGAAAAGAAAAAAGAAAAGAAAAGAAAAAAGAAAAGAAAAGAAAAAAGAAAAAGAAAAGAAAAGAAAAAGAGAAAAGAAAAGAAAAAGAGAAAAGAAAAGAAAAAGAGAAAAGAAAAGAAAAAGAGAAAAGAAAAAAGAAAAGAACAATTTAGGTGGATAAAAAGTGTACAAAATATTCAAAGTCATCCTCTCTTATCTTTCTTTTGCTCTAACTCTCTATGAGGAATTTTAACATAGCACAATTTTTTATGTCTTTCAATATTTCACAATCTCTTAAGTTAGATCAAAATTTCAAGATTAGCAATTATACAAAGATAGAAGGCTGAAACACAAGTACAACACAATGAGAATGCTGGTGTGAATACCAAAGTATATAATAATGATAATCCCCCATCTCAAAAATTCCAACTAAAATCAAAACAATGTAAAAATTAAAAATTCATCAATAAAAATAAATCTACATACCAGCTCTTTTGTTGAAAGAATTTCAGCTGAAAGAAAAAAAATCCATTTTATTAATAAAAAATCTAGAAAACAATGTTATTTTGAAAGTTTGTAGTTTTCAAAGGAAAGTAATAAAAATATTAACAAAGTGAGACAAACCCCATAAATAGAAATACAGACATTGCCTCAAACAAAGCTTGAACTAGCATTCTACAGAACAGGAACCAACCAGGCACAGATAAAGCCTTAACCAACACTAATTATTGACAGGTAAGTAAGTTGTGATAAAATTGACAGGTAAGTAAGTTGTGATAAAATTGACAGGTAAGTAAGTTGTGATAAAATTGACAGGTAAGTAAGTTGTGATAAAATTGACAGGTAAGTAAGTTGTGATAAAATTGACAGGTAAGTAAGTTGTGATAAAATTGACAGGTAAGTAAGTTGTGATAAAATTGACAGGTAAGTAAGTTGTGATAAAATTGACAGGTAAGTAAGTGATAAAATTGACAGGTAAGTAAGTTGTGATAAAATTGACAGGTAAGTAAGTTGTGATAAAATTGACAGGTAAGTAAGTTGTGATAAAATTGACAGGTAAGTAAGTTGTAATAAAATTGACAGGTAAGTAAGTTGTGATAAAATTCAAATTGAAAGGATTCAACCGAGAAAGTTGGGATAAAAAGCAAGAAAAGACTAGCCAAAAATGAATAATGAAAAGACTTCATCTTTGAATTCAAATAACTTCAGTGATGTGACTGTCCAAATCTACAGCCATATTGTCACCTCTGATTTTACATGATTTTAATGGTTGGAAAGAGAATAATTTGATAAAGCAGTTAAATTATTTCAAATTGTTGGTATTATGATGCATTCCTTTTAAAAGAAGGAAAAACAGATCTTGGGAAATTTGTTAAAGAGCTATTTACCCATTTTGAAAAAAATATTAAGACCATAAGAAATCATCCAAATAAGGTTAATTTTTTTTATATTTTCCAATTTCTGAATAAGAAGTATATTTGAAGTTAAATTATGAACAAACTGTCTAAAGTTCATGGTTTTTTTCATGTTTTTTATGATTTTAATCCCAATATACAACAGAAATTAGAAAAAAATATAATAAAAAGAATTAAATCAGCCTTGTCAGTTGGATTTAACAAAACTTATTTGCAATAAGTAATATTAAAATAATTGAAACAGGACAAATTTATTAATTTCTACCTGTGATATCAAAGATTACATAAAAATTGAGGTAATTCTATAAAAGGTATGTTATATACATCCATGTTTTTAGAGTACCTTAAGGTGGTGTAATGGTTAGCAAGCTTGTCTCACTAGAACAATTATGAGTCATGAATAGAAATAACTCTACAACAAAAATTTAGATATTAAAAAAAAAAAAAAAAAAAAAAAAAATTGATATATTATATGCAAAATTACTTACTATTCTCCAGCAAATTTTGGGAAGCATTTTGGGAGGTTTTCTGAAGGAAGGAAAAAAAAAAAGGAAAATTACTTTTTAGATATTATTACAAGGTCACAAAAAAAAAAAAATAAAAAAATAAAAAAAATAAAAATGTTTCCATTCCACGAGACAGCTTTTATTTTTTCTTTATTGCTCCATGACAATGTTTATGATTAGAATTGTAATATAACAAACATATGACGAAAGTGAATTTATACAATTGATTTTGTTCCTGAGTATTTACAGCAAAAATATTAAATACTATTTATTAGATTGTTTATTTACAAGATCCTAAAAACTAATATAATTAGAGTCATATGCTTCCTGGAATGATATAGTGAGCTGACTGTTAGCGTAATAATCAGCAAGAGAAAACAGAGATGGAAAATACACGTCAAAAATGAATAAATGTTTGACTAGGTTTCCTCTAATAAAAAAAAAAAAATTCAAGATATTATTACTAATACTACTAGCACAGTCAAAAATATCAAACATGATACCAAGCGATCAGGATAAATGAAAAGTAAATTTACAAGGTAAAGTCAAAAATTATCCCCACACATAACATGTTATGGCAAAAGATAATTTTTTATTTAGCCTCATATAGGGCCAAATTCAATCTTCTGCCAACTGTAAAAGTTTTTTGTGTCTCAATTAATAAAATCTTTTTTCACCCCAGTAACCAGCCATCAGAGACAAAAATTTGATTCTTCCTTGGAAACTACTATTTATTTTCAAAACACAGTTTATAGATGGCAAGAGAAGGTACAATGAAAAGCAATTAAAATTAATGGGAAAGAAATAGGATAGTCTCAGTGAAATTTTAAGAAAAAAATTATCTATGAAGATACAGAATAAAATAGAGTAATTAGTTTCAAAACAAAAACAGATATAAAATCTACTACCTTTTTCCTTTTGATTATAAACAATGAATCTTCACCATCACTTTCATCTTTATCCAACACAAGAGGAACATCTGCAAGAAAAAGCAACATTTTGTACTGAATGCAATAAAGAAGAGAAAAAAAAAAAGAGAAAGAAGAAGACGACGAGGAAAAAACAAACACAAAAGAAGACATGGGAAAAAAAAAAAAAAAAAAAAAAAAAAAAAAAAACACGAGAGGGGGAAAAAAACAAAAAAAAAAAAAAAAAAGAGAGGGAAAAAAAAAAAAACACGAGAGGGGGAAAAAAAAAACGAGAGAGAAAAAAAAAAAAAAAACACGAGAGGGGAAAAAAAAAAAAAAAAAAAACACGAGAGAGGGGAAAAAAAAAAAAAAACGAGAGAGGGGAAAAAAAAACACGAGAGAGGGGAAAAAAAAAAAACGAGAAAAAAAAAAAACACGAGAGAGGGAAAAAAAAACACGAGGGAGGGGAAAAAAAAACACGAGGGAAAAAAAAAAAAACACGAGGAAAAAAAAAAACACGAGGGAGGGGAAAAAAAAAAAAAAGGGGAGGGAAAAAAAAAAAAAAGAAGGGAGGAAAAAAAAAAACAAAAAAAAAACACACACAAAAGAAGGGAAAAAAAAAAAAAAAGAAGGAGTAAAAAAACACAAAAAGAAAAAAAAAAAACACACAAAAGAAGAAGGTAAAAACACACAAAAAAAGAAGAAAAAAAAACAAAAAGAAGAAAAAAAAAAAAAAGAAAAGACACAAAAGAAGAAAAAAAGAAGAGTAAAAAACACACAAAAGAAGAAGAGTAAAAAAACACAAAAAAAGAAGAAGAGTAAAAAAAGACAAAAAGAAAAAACAAAAAACAAAGAAAAAAACACACAAAAGAAGAAGAGTAAAAAAAACACACAAAAGAAGAAGAGTAAAAAAAACACACAAAAGAAGAAGAGTAAAAAAAAGAAGAGTAAAAACACACAAAAAAGAAGAAGAGTAAAAAAACACACAAAAGAAGAAAGTAAAAACACACAAAAAGAAGAAGAGTAAAAAAAACACACAAAAAGAAGAAGAGTAAAAAAAACACACAAAAAGAAGAAGAGTAAAAAAAACACACAAAAAGAAGAAGAGTAAAAAAAACACACAAAAAGAAGAAGAGTAAAAAAAACACACAAAAAGAAGTAAAAAGAAAAAAAAAAGTAAAAAACACACAAAAAGAAGAAGAGTAAAAAACACACAAAAAAGAAAAAAAACACACAAAAAGAAGAAGAGTAAAAAAAACACAAAAAAAAGAAGAGAAAAAAAACACACAAAAAAGAAGAAGAAAAAAAACACAAAAAAAGAAAAAAAAACACAAAAAGAAGAAGAGTAAAAAAACACACAAAAGAAGAAGTAAAAAAAAACACAAAAAAGAAGAAGAGTAAAAAAAAACACACAAAAAAGAAAAGACACAAAAAAAAGAACAGAGTAAAAAAGAAGAAAAGTAAAAAAAACACACAAAAAGAAGAAGAGTAAAAAAAACACACAAAAAGAAGAAGAATAAAAAAAACACACAAAAAGAAAAAAGAAAAAAAAAATGAAAAAAAATTTATACTTCTTTTCATAATTATAAAATTTAAAATGACCATACACTAACAAATAAAAATTCAGTGAATATTTTTTATTATTCATAATGCTTAAGAACAATTTGAATATTAATGACTATAGAAAATACTAAATTATGTTCACAGGAATATTTATATCTTATCTAGGATTAGTCCACTGTGTATGTTGTATACAGGTTCTTTGCATATCTCCTTTGAATAGTTTTTTTCCATGTAGCATATGTTGAAATAGCTTGTTAGTTCTCAAAATCCAAAATTGCCCACTATTTTCTATTCAGTTGCTCATCACCCACCCAATAGTTGAAATCACTCACTGGTGAGTGATCTCACCCAGCTCAGGAAACACTGATTTACAGAGTTGGATTGAGTTTTAACAGCAATAATAAAATTGTGTTTCCCAAAGGAAAATCTGTAAATAGAGATCATGTTATTTGAGAAAAATTTGATAATTACCATCATCATCATCAGCAGCAGCAGCAGCTTCCGAAACTGGTTCAAGATTAACAATATTATCATCGTCGTCGTCGTCATCATCATCATCAATAACCCGGGACTAGAAAAGAGAAAATTCAAATCTATCATGACTAACTGTTCAAAACAGGTTTATTTTTTTGTTAGCCTTTTTCTCCAACTTATAATAATAGTCTTTCTTTTCCCAAGGATGAAGAAAACATTTTCCAAAAGCTTAATAGCGAGAATACTTTTTATGCTGAAGTTCAAATAATTCAAAACCAAAACATGGATGCTTTGGCATGTGATAATGTTTAGCAAGGCTAATCTGAGTAAGGGACTTACAGCCACACCATGTTGAAACACAGGTTCCCATACAATCACCAAAGTTAAGCAACATCAAGCCTATAGTGCTGTAAGCTTGGATGTGTGAGTAGCGTATTGGATAATGGCTTAGCATTGTTAATCTGAGAGCTGAGTTCCAATATCCAGTTGAGTTTGTTATACCCTTAGGAAAAGTATGAATCCACCTCTTCTCCCCCTAGCTATGGGTTAATTATTATGAAATGTATCACTAAATCATTATTATCCATTTAAGAAAAAAAAAAAAAAAAAAAAAAAGAAAATATCTTACACTCTAAAAATATTTACTAGCTTTAAATAACCTGAAATGGATTGATAAGTCAAAAAATTCATCAAGCAATCAACAACTGAGTAAAGACTTTGAACTTGACAAGTAAATCAACAGGAAATAAACCAATAATGGTTGGCAGGTCATAAAATCAACATTAACAAAAAAAAAAAAAAAAGATTTTAAAAATATACTGTGATTTTTTAGATAGCATTTGATTTGTTTGTTTGTTTTTTTGTTTTTTTTTTACAGCTTATCAATCTTTTTTGTTTATCTAAAGCCAAAACATATTGTAGATTGCAAAAAGCATTTGGGGGGGTCAAGTGAATATTGCATTGTCAAATTTTTGGAGAGAATAACAATGATTTTTCCAGATACAAGTCCTACTATTTGGCACTTAAGAAAATACCATCACATAATATTAATTTGACTAAAAAAAAAAAAAAAAAAAAAAAAAACATGGCTTCTATGAAATTCCACTATCACACCATTAAATATTTGAGCTTAACTTTAACAAAATATTGCAATAACAATCATAAATATGGATGTTGGTTGTTATTTTAAGAAGTGGGTACAAATGAAAAGATTTGAAATTGACAGATTTTTCCATTTCACTAAAAAAAAAAAAACATTAAATAGTTCTATCTCCCCTTCATTCTTTCCAGCTAAATCACCATCTTACAAACATTTCTCTTAATAATAATTTTAAAATGATTCAGCTGACAATGTTATTTATGGTAACTGGATTTTTGGCAATTGCCTTAATCATTTTTTGTCGTTCGATACCATGCATCTGAAAAATGGCCATTATTTCTTGGCTTTTGACTGAGATTATAGTGTACTATCTGTTCATATCAGCTTAATCCAATATTTTTTCTTTTTGTGTGTGTGTGTGTGTGTGTGTGTGTGTGTGTGTGTGTGTGTGTGTGTGTGTGTGTGTGTGTGTGTGTGTGTCTCCCCACTGTTATATATTTGAGAGACAAGAAAAAAAGGCTTACAAGAGTCTAGGTGGGACGTTTGACCTGTGAGAAAGAGACCAAGACATACAGTAGAAGAGATAATAAATACTCGTGGCTGTTGCTAGCTACATCATTATTTCCTGTCACCTTCCCTGAAAGGGTTACACAGTAGGGCCCTTTACCCCAAGGGAGGTCATTATACAAATATATTGATTATGGAGTTAAAGGGAGCTAACTATGCAAACAGTAACTGCTTAATACATTTATACAATATACATATTCAACATCCACTTCTATTCTTTCATTTACTCACTGAAACCAAGTAGTGTCTTTTCCACATGGTCAAAATTGAATAGTCCATTACTTATGAGGTATTGGCAGGGTGTAACGGTTATGAAAACTAATGATGGGTGGGACAAGCACAATTATAATAGGATTTTTTTTTTTTTTTACTACTCAGTCAATCAGTCATGTGCCATGCGTGATACATGCTTAGGCGATCATGTATCAGGCGATCATGTATCTTTCGATACATGACTGACAAGGCAGATATTTTTCACGCAGCAGATTGCCATTTCTTTCTGCAGTAGACCAGTTGCCATCCAAGGCTATAGAACCCAGTCTGTCCTGCTATTTACCCATAGCTGGAGAAGTGGATTCATAACTTTCCCAAAATTATTAGCACGTAAGTGAATATCAGTCAGTTATGTGCCATGCGTAATACATGCTTAAGCTATTATGTATCTTTCGATATATGACTGATGAGACTGATTTTTTCCTGCAGTAGGTTGCCATTTCTTTCTGCAGTAGACCAGTTGCCATCCAAAGCTATAGAACCCGGTCTGTCCTGCTATTTACCCATAGCTGGGGGAGAAGAGGATGATTCATACCTTTCCCAAGGGTATTAGCACATAAGCGAATGTAATGGATTAGAGTGGAATTTGAACTTGGCTCTCCAATTTCTCAATCCGAGCCGCTATCCATTACTCCACTGTGCCTCCTTTTTTTACTCAACAATTCAAAATAGAAGAGACACTAAGATTCTGCAGCGATTTGATCGTTCAAATTTTTAAAAGATCATCTGCAGGTGAGAGAAAACAAAAAGGTAGTATACTTTTTTGAGGACTCATTTCTCAAAAAAACAGGAATTCACACATAATATGGAAGGAGGGATTGGAAAAAAAACTCTCACAAGCCATATCAAGGACAAGAGAGTTAAAGGAAGGATGCAGGCCTCCTACCTAACAAGCTTGTGTGAATGAATGGCGGAACAAGGATGTAGGAGGCTTGGCAAAGGAAGAAACATTGCTAAAAGCCACAAGGGATAGGAAGTTGGTGAGAGCAATGTCCTGAAGGGACATGGCACATAAAAGAATGCTTACAGGACAAAACTTGAGAGATAGATTTAGAAATATAAATGGTATCAGAAGGACAACTTAAAAACCCAACTCGCAAGGTTGAAAAGAGTACTGCACATCCTTGTGAGAAGGTTCGAACATTCATTTGAAGTCCCTGGAAAATCCACACACACCTCACAACCAATGTTAATTTGACAGCATCCACAAGTGAATGAACAATAATTTTACAAATGAAAGATCTAATTTCAAATTCTTATCAGGTGTTACTATCATAACATTACAAATTTAGACAAGTTACTTATGAAAAAAAAAAAAAAAAAAAAAATATGAAACCATATAATAATTATCAATATGTATTTATTTATATATTTCCTGTCCCATCCATAGTGGGAAGGGAGGTAAATCAACTTAATTTTATGAGGGATTACTTCCCTTAGTCATTTTAATAATCTATACAAATAACATTTATCTGCATTTATAAAAAAAAAATTACTTCCCATGCAAAATGAATCATTTAATCAGTTCCTTTACTCCTATGTTTCTTAGATGCCTTTGTAATCATTTTGCTTTAAATTGATCTTGAAATGGCTTTGGAAATATCTCTCTGAAGAAAAAGATTAGCAATGGAATGCCATTGCTAATCTTTTTCTTCAGAGAGATATTTCCATTTCACTGTTATATTAAAGACATAAAAGGTTTAACATGAAGAGATATCAAGCAAAAAGCAATTTATATAATATCAGGTGTAATCAATGAATCATAAATACCATTGAGCATCTAAAAAAATATGAAGAGATTAATTAAGCAGTTCATTGGCCTCTATTTTAGCTGTGAATTTTTTATCTCTGCTTTATTGAATCCCAATACATTGTTTCAAGATATTTGTTTTATTGCATCTCACTATTAAAACTTTTCAAAAATTAACGTCATGGGTATAATAGTTGTGTATAGCTACCCAATGTATTTACATTAAATGAAACCAAGTGTCATCATTGTCAATTAATCATAAAAAAAAAAAATACGAACCCCTCTTTGATGGCTTCTCACACAAAAATTATCATCATCATCATCATCACTATTACTTGCACTGCCTGGAAAAAAAAATATAAAAATAAAAATAGAACCAACAAAAAAAAAAAAATTTAACTTTTAAAAAAGACAAATAGAATTAAGATATTAAATTTTACAAGAAAAAAAAAAATTAAAAATCAACAAATTAAACTTTACACTGTTTACATGCAGGGACAGGGCTTACTTGTTTCCAGTGGACACATTGAGCAATAACTAAAAATAAGAACATGATATCCAAAGACATGAAAGAATGGAATGAGAACAGTCTTTCCTGTAGATTGAATAAAGGGTTCAGTTCAGGATTCCCTGTAGGTTACCCAGATCAATATACACCCAAAGTGTTGTGATAACAAAAAAAAAAACATAAAATGATAGCACGCTGGTGAATGGCGCAAATGACAGCACGCTTGTTAATAGTGTAAATAAGAAGCCCTCATCCCAGAAATTCAGACAGAAATTAAATTTTGCAAAAAAAAAAAAAAAAAAAAAAAAAAACTTTTATACAGAGTATAAAAAGAAATACCGCCCACATTAGTGTTAATAGTGTCTTCATTTAGCTAGTGTCTTACCATGGGGGAGGTATTTCTGCTACACCCTGTACATTCTAGAATTAATCTAAATTCATTCATTGCACTCCAACAGGTTTCCAAAAGATTTTTTAAATTTAAGCTCTCTCCTTGAAAAAAAAAAAAAAAAAAAAAAAAAAACTGTGGCTACTTTTGTAACACAATATTAGATGAATCTGAGAAGTTTCTTGACTTTACCCAGCTCTTTATTGCATATACAAACATACTCTGGGACAGGCAGTACAGATATACACAGATTCAGTAGAAACAGGGCTAACATATAGGAAGGAGATACAGAAAAACTGTTTGGTTTTCTTTTTATTTTGGGTTTTTTTTTTCCTTCAATTGGCTTAATTCTTATTTGAAAGTAAATCTGAATAAAAAGTTTTAAAACTTAAGAAATCTTTATTAGTCTAAAAAGTTATGACTACTCAGAAATTGTCAATTTGCCAAATAATTCCCTTAATTTTTTTTTTTTTAAATCAATTCATGGCAAAAATTTCATTAAGTAAATGTTGACTGAGAGTGAAGTGAATGAAAAGACTTAAAAAAAAAATTGGAAACTCAATCCTAAACAGGGAACAAGAGAAACCTTTACACCTGTTCAAAGAACCAGAGAAATGCCATCATCAAAATATACAGCATGTAAATCTGGCACTACAGAGGTGACATAAAAACTAACCTCTTTACAGAATTATGTGCCTGAGCAAGACATCATAAATAGCTTTACCTACCTTTTTTTAGGTCCAGTCTTAATGAAGACAATGAAAAAATAACCTAAAAGGTTTAAATACAGGTAATTGAACATTTTTCAGTTATTAAAGTCACTACCAATTTTAACTCTCCATCAAAATCAAACGGTTTTCTAGATTTTTAAATTCTAATCGCCAGTAGCTGATAATACATCAGAAATATAGTAAAGAATATATTTTTCTGAAAAGTAGACCTTTAAGGATTTCACTTTAGCCATATATAATTATTTTAAATGTCAGATTAATTAATGTGTTTAACAGCTTATCAAATTTTTTTACAGGTTATTTAAAGCCACAAAATATATTTACATTAGGTACCTCCAATTATTCGCTAAGAATCATATATCATAATGTAACAGGTTTGAAACTTAATAAAAACAAAGTTTCATCATTAAAATTTTTATGTTATTCTTAAGAGGGAAGAACGAAGTATTTTTTAAATATTTTTTAAAATTTTTCTCTTCCTTCGAACACGTTTTAAATTTGGGTCAAATATCTCGTCTTTTTGTGTTAAAACGGTACGACTTGTGGTCATCGCCATTTTTTTAGTGTAGCCCATTAATTTTGGAAATTATTGCAAAAATCAAATAATTGTCTAATTTAAATGAAACTTTCAGAACTTATTCAAAAAGGAATAAATTTATTTTTGAAATTTTTATTTTTAGAAAATCTTGGTAAAAATATTTTTTTTTTTACATATTCCCCACCCAAAATTAATTGTATGAAATATTATAGAATTTCAAAAAAATTGCAAATTTTTCTTTTTTCCGTGTATGCAGGACTCCTTGGAGAAATTAAATAACCAATTTTTTTTTTCACAACTAATGCCAACTTTATAAAAATCTGCTCCAAATCGTAAAAATAAAAACTGCAATAAACTATCTAATTATCAAATTAGATAGTTTTTATTTGCTTTTATAAATAATATCCATTAAGGACATTATTATCTGAAGAAAAAAAAAATTTCGATGAATAATGAATTTTTACAACAATTGTTTGCATTTTTCGTAAATTTTTTTCATTTTTTTCTTTAATTTTAAAAATGTTTTTAAATTCTTTCATGCAGCGACTTTGGTCGGTTATTAGTTTTTTTAAGTGAAGACTATATTTACTAAGCGAAACTTAAAAGCTTAATATAAATAACCCTGCCAAAACTTTTTACCATAATAAAATTTATTTTTTTTGTCCGTTAAGATGTTTGATTTTTTCTTGGTATGGTATCTCGCAAGTGATATTACAGTTAAAAGGTCACGTGTTTCACGGCTTCTCTCCCCCTAGGGGATAGCCCCTTGACATATAACTGGTCAATTGCCGGCAATTGTCATTCATTTCACTTCCGTGTTTCATCAACCCTATCTTCAACACTCAACAGGCTTGTGTGGAAATCATCCCTTCAAGATTTAAAAAGGGATTTTTTTTTAATTTCGTTTAAATTTCAATTTTGCTATGCATGTATTTATTTTAATTTTTAGTCCGTGTCATACATCAAGTAATTTATTTTTTTAGTTAAGAAAATAATTTAGGCCTAATTTTGTTATTTATTTTTTAAGTTTCTTTTCTTATTTGTGAATTTTATTTTTATAAAAAAAAAATATGGTTGAAACTTTCAAACCATTTTTTTAGAAAAAAAAATGGTTGCCTTTCAAGTTGAAATGCAACCCTTTATTTTATTTAAAACCTAATGTTTAATTTCCTTATTTTTAAAGCATTTTCTTTTCATTTAAAATTAGTTTTCTTTTCTCAATTTAATTGTGGTCTCCACTAATTCCTGATACCTAAGCTTATTTTTCCTGCTTTTTTTTGTTTTTTAATGAATTTCAAAAAACAAAAATTAAAAATCTTTCTTGAAGTATTCATTTTTTTTTTAACTTTAATTGAAAGCTGAAGCTACAATAAATTTTATTTAATATTTCCAATTTCCAGTAAGCCAAATCTGGTTAGTGTTACAGAAATTAGTGATTGGCATAGGGATTTTCCAGTAAAAGCAATAAAAAAAATATTGCAATTTTTTTTTTCTTTAATTTTCAAATTGCAATATTTTTATGAAACATTTTTGGAAAATTGTCATTTACAGCTAAAATACTAATTTAAGTACTTTAAAAATTTAATAAATAAAATAACTTTAACAATTCATAAACATCAAAACATAAAGAATAAAATGAAAAAATAGGATCTTAAAAATATAAATATTAAAGTAGTGTTATCTCTATCATTTGTGATAACAGATAATTATTTTTGTTAATTATAACTCAGTTATTAAATTAAAAAGTGAATTATTGAGATAATATTAATAAAATTATATTTCAGTTGTAAAAATGTAATAACTGAGTGAGACAGAAGTTATAATAATTTTTATTAATTATTATTAATAATTTAAGAAATATTAATATAATTTGTAGTTAATATAATTAATAATATTACATCTCAGTTATTTAATTAAAATGTAATAACTGATAATATAGTAATTAATAAAATTATTTATCATAATTATCTACCATTAACTACACAATTTTAAAAATTTTTATAGTATTTTATTTTAAAATTATTATAAGAAAGCATCTTCAAAATTACAGTTTAAAAAAATCAGTAATATATTAGATAATTGCTTAAATTATTTTAAATTTTAAACATTACTTAGTAGTAAAAAAAAAAACAATAGAAACCATTCTTACTTAGAATTCGAAAAATTGTATCAGCTCTGGTCCACCATACTAAACCTGTCAACACATGCGGCCATCAAATTATCGATGGAGACTCGAGAAAATTCAAGACTCCGTGGTGAAGAAATGCTTGTCTAGAAAATTTCATGGTGTAAGTAAGTGATGTTTGTTTTAAAACACATTAATTAAACTTTAAATTTGCTAATTTTACGAAAGTAACGTTTCAGAAATCTATGTTATTTTAGGCGGGTTTTTTAAAACAAAAATTATTTTTGTTTACATTTCTCTAAAAAAAATTAAACATGGCCGTTTCGATTATTTTTTCAGAAAAATTGATTTAAAATCATTATAATTTCTAGTTGAAATACAGTACAGTGTTTTGTTTTCTGGAATTAGAAAATTTAATCCTTTAGCTTTCAATTGAAACTGTGGGAAAGCTTCAAAAACGATTTTTTATTTATGAAAAATACACTTAAACCTTGAGTATACCGAATTTTTTGGAGGTACCTAATTTACATTGTATGATTTTTTTTTTAAGGGGATAATAATGATTTACTGATATAAGTCCTACTAATTAATCCAAAGCTGGGGGGGGGTGGAGAAGAGGTGGATCCATACCTTTCTCAAGAGTAATTGTGAATAAGGGAACATAATGAACCCAACTGGAATTGAAACTCTGCTCCCCAATTTCCAATTCTGAGCCATTATCTATTAGGGTCATTTCATGTCAAATCATCAAGGGTATGTCACCCTTACTTCCTCAATTTTTCTGAAATTTTGTCCATGTATTGACTATGTTAAAGTAAAACAATCCCCAATATTTGAGCTTCTACTGCCCAAAATTTCCCAATTTACATCAATTTTTAGTTTTCCCTATTTTTGGTGCTGTGCCAAAAATCTGTAAAATTAGTTCTAGAGCTTCCCTACACCTAAAAATTGGCTCAGAAAAGTTTTTGAGCTTGAGGAATCCAAAAATGCTATTTAAAAAAAAAAAAAAAAAAAAACAAACAAAAAAAAAAAAAAAAATTTAATCAGTTTTAAGTTATTAATGATTTTTGATTTTTTCATAGCAAGATCAATAGGTGGGGGGAAAATCCCCATGTGGCAGTGCATCTATGGCAAAAAATTTTTATTATTATTTTACATATATTGAACATTATTTGTACCAAAAAGATAGTTTGATTATTTCTTAGTTTGCTCGGAATAAAAGCTACAACATTAGATTACAATTTTTGATGTAAATCAGACGATTTTTGGAATTGTCTTACTTTAACATAGACAGCACACGGAAGAAATTTCAGAAAAATTGAAGAGGTAAGGTTGACCTTTTTTTTTTTTTTTTTTGGATGATTTAACATAGAATTACCCATTACAGTATCCACATATTCAAGCTTACAGCACCTGGTATTCCCAAGCGGTCACCCACCTAGATACTGACCAGTCTCAACATTGATGATCATATAGGAACCAATGTTTGAACAATATGGCCATAAACCACCTTCAAATCCAAGCTTACAGCACCTGGTATTCCCAAGCGGTCACTCATTTAAGTACTAACCAAGTTTGAGGTTAACTTATAGAGCAAGTGAATTTGGCACAACAGGTGACAATGAAGCTAATTTCTTGATAGAATTATGTGCCTGAGCAAGACTTCACGGTTTTAGCTACATTTTTTCCAGGTTCTATCTTAATGATCACAAAATGGAAATATATAAAAATTAGCTAAAAGGCTTAAATTCAGCCTATAAATAACTTTCTATTACATCAATGTCACTTTTTACCCTCACCACTGCACTAAAATCAAACCTTTTTCTAGTTTTTTAGATTCCGATGACCATCATCTTATAATACCACGACAGTAGCTCTTGTGCCTTATAACAGGGTGGACATTGTAAAAAATCTTGGAGAAAAATCCACCCACAACATCCTTATTCCAACTACCCCTTTTATTGAGGTTTGTTTTGTTTGTACAAGATTCTTTAATTTCAAAATCGATAAGTGTCATATCCGAAGTTGTTGGGATGAACAAAGACGAATGAAAATGAAAGATAAGTGAATTTTAACACATAATAAAATAACTTTTACTCATTTACTACCTGAAAACAGCAAAGATTTTAAACCTTGAGCTCTATGTGCATATCACTTTATCACCATGTTCAATGCAGAAGTACCACAGTCCATCTAACAGACAAAGACTGTAACTCAATTGTATTGTGATTTATTGTCCTTTATAGGGGGAAGTAAGTAAGCACCACCTAACAGTTTGTGATCCTTTTCATTTAGATTAAAGAAGTAAAGAAATTCACTGGTGCAGAGCACACAAAGCCATTCAAAGAAAAAAAAACTGCTGACCCCACACCACACAAAGTACTGCATTTGCAAAGGCAAATATGACTCCACCCTCTTCCAGAACTGGCAAGTACAGAGAGAAGCATAGCTCAACCAATATACAGATGCAAATGAACACTTTCTCCAGAAAAGCAGTATTTGCTTTCAGAGGTAATTTCAACACATTAACTCTAAAAATGACATCTTGAGCCACAGTTTGCAATAAGACCTGACATGGCTCCCACTCTTCAAGCTGAGGAGGGTGATAGAAGTAAATGACAACTATTCCAAACTGGCATTTGCAGAAGTAAAATTTTAAGTTTCTACCTCAGATGAGAACAATGTGATGGAGGTTTACCTTCTTGTTGCAGTTGTGTCTCTGAATGTGGAGAAGTTCCCATACTCTCTTCCATTCCAGAATCTTTCTCCAATTCTTCTTTCTGTACAGCCATGGACTTTGTAGTTGATGCGATGTCCGTCTAAAATAAAATAAAGTAAATAAGTATTTATTACCATTAATTATACAATAGTGATGGAGCAGTGTTGACCTTTTTTTTTTTAAAAAAAAAAAAAAAAAAAAAAATCAATTCACTCCATGCAAGGTGATAATGCCACTAAGACAAGGGTGGGGGCTATTGGGAGAAAAGAGAATGAAAAGACTTTAAAAAGAAACAAAAACCCAATCCTGCTTGTGGCCACATCACATTGAAACATTGGTTTCCATACAATCACCAAAGTTAAGCAACATTGAGCCTTGTCAGTACCTAGATGGGTGACTGCTTGGGAATACCAGGTGCTGTAAACTTGGATGAGCAAGTGGTGTAATGGATAATAACTCAAAATTGTTAACCAGAGAGCCGAAATCCAATTCTCATAGAGTTCATTATATTCACTACAACAAATACCCTTTAGAAAGGAATGTATCCAACTGTTTGTCCTCTAGCTATGGATTAATTAGTAAGACTTGTATCAGTAAAACCATTATTAGCTCAAAGAAAACCTTACAATCTAAAAATATTTCCTGGCTTTAAATAATCTACAACAGGTTGATAAACCATAGAAAATGAATGAATCAATCAAAGCCAAACAAGAAAGGGATAAACCTCTACTCCAATTCAAAAGAGAATGGCTTTTCAATAGGAAAAAAAACAAATGATGTGATGAGCTAAGTTCAAATTTTGGGAAAGGTAGTTGCAGTCACTTTACACTCATGCCCTTAGGGAAGGCATTAATCCATCTCTACTCCCACTCGCAATGAGTGAAAATGCCAGGCAGAATCAGCGCTTTTATTTTAAGCCTTTGTAGGGGAACTAGTATTAGTTATAAGTACAAGTCCTTGGAATTTAAATCATTAAATTTTTGGAAGTCAAACAGGACCTCACAAATCTGCTCTGAATTGTAAAAAAAAAAAAAAAAAAAAAAAAAAAAAAAAAAATAAAATCCAATAAAACCAAGACATTATTTAATTAGAAAATATTTTAATTACTTTTATATAAAAATATATTATGGATACTTGTCTCAATAAAAAATTATTTTGAATGAATAATGAATTTTTTACAAGAATTATTTTCATTTTTTTTTTTCATTTTAATTAAAATAATTTATAAACTTTTCAATCTTAAAAATTTGTATTAATTTGTAGCAGTCAAGTGATATTGTTATTAAATTAAGACATCAAATAAAAAATATATCAAAGAGGTTTTAGCTCAAGCTGTTTTTGCACAAACCCACCACATATTTTTTTCCTTCAATTTAAATTAAATTTAAATAGGGGAATGACTCCTATCCAAAATATAGAGGGAGAAAGTCAGAAGATGGCGGTCACATCTGCAAAATCATGAGTAATATTGAAATGCATCATTTTTCTCCAAAATTATAACAATGACTTTTTTCTTTTTTTTTTTCAAAAAAAAAAAAAAAAAAAAAAAAAAAAAAAAAAAAAAGAAGTTTGACACGCAGCAAAGCGCGGCTAATTTTTACCAAGATTTTCTAGAAAAAAAAAAAAAAAAAAAAAAAAAAAAAAAGAGACATTTTTAAAATTATTTCATTCATTCGTTAATAAGTCCTGAAAGATTCAATCCGACAATTATTTGATTTTTGCAAGAATTTCCAAATCAATGTGTTTTTACCGCAAAAAGGCGCTAATTTCCTAAACTAAATCTTTGTGGGTGGAAAAATATAAATCCGCCAAGACCATATTTGGGATCAGATATTTAAATTTAAACATCAGGTTAAAAAATATTAACTTTTAACATCCTTCAATGCCTAGAATTTATTTACTATTTTTAATTCTCAGATAAGCCTAGACAACTTTTTTTTAGCAGCACGTAGTAAAAGCTTTCTTCATTGCAAGTCTTACTTTCTTTAACGAACCTTTTTGTTGATCTTTTGCGATCAAAGAAAATATCTGTTAATTACTAATTTAATTACGAAAATTAATTTCTGTAAGTGTAAAAAAAGTAAATAATCCCAATATTTTTTTAACTTAATAATAGTAATGTTGAGTGTTGAATCATTTTTGTCTGGCATCTAAAAAACTTATTTCGTGATTAAAAACAAATTTTGAATATAATGAACTGGGATTTAGTGATAAGAAGTTTATTTAATTAATTTTCATAAGAAAATACTAAAAAATAGTTGGAGCAAAAATCTGATCGTAAGGGTTTAACGAATGAAATATTTTTCAATTTTCATCGTAGAATTAAAAGAAAACTAAGAGAAAATTATTTTCAAAATTCCTTTTTTTTTATTATTTTTTTTTCATGATGTCCTGCTATCAATAATTAATTTAAAAAACACTTTTCATATAATATAGTAACTAATTAATAAATTTAACTTTTCTTTCTTCTTTAAACAAATAAAAAAGTATTTGTTCATAATGATCAGTATTTTTCAGAAGTTTTTTTATTAGAAATTAAAATTTAGATTTTTATTTTTTTTAATTATAAAAAAAAGAAATACAATTTATTTTATTGGTACGCCAATATTTTTAGACGTTAATGTAAAATTTACTCATAAATTATAAATACATAATTAAGCAAATGAATGTTAATAAACAAAATTCAAATGAATAACATTTATTTAACAATAACACTTTTTTTAATAACTTAATTCGTAGGGAGGCCTGTGAAATGGAAATTTCGTATTTTCAAAAAAAAAATTGTATAAAAAAAATTCTTTGCATGATTATATTTCTTTTCTTGTTATTTAACAAAACATTTTTTTAAAAAAAAAAATAAAGGCATCGCAATGCTTTTTAGTTTGTTAAAAAAATACCACCTCTAGTTTAAGACTTGTTTTAGATTTAAAGTTTCAATGAGATACAAAAAAAGTTAAGCTCAGTTTTTTTCGCTGAGAAATAATTGGAAACCTTTCTATTCTAGCATATAAAAAACAATCTCCTTCATTTGTGCGTATAATTTATTTTACCAAGATACTTGTGCAAAGTTTGTTAGTTTATTTCTACGAAAAAGAAAAACAAGGAATATTGACCATTTTAAATGCAAGTAAAAAAAAAAATTCGGCAATTTACAACTTTCCATAAACAATTCTTGCTTATCAAACTTTAAAAAGTTAACTTGTCTATAAGTAAAAAAATATCACAGAGAACTAAGTGTTTATAAATTAGCAACTGAAAGATAAACAATCGCAGTTAACATAGTTTTTTTTTTTTATTTTATTTTTTAAGTACCAAAAATTTAAGAAGAAAAAAAGCATCAACTATTTGTTACGTTAAAATTTTTAAAAAAATACGATCATTGGATTAACAAATAAAATGCATCTCAAATCTCTCACCTTTTGATCATCGATCTCCATGGCTTAATAATGAAAAAGAAAACAAATGGTTGGAGATTTGAATAAATGTCTATTAAAAACAAAATTCCTTTTCAACGTGTAAAGTTTTTCATTAAACCGATAAACAAAATGATTTCGATTTCGCGCGTAATCTTACGCATGCGCAAAAAAGCAAAATACTCTTCAACCCAAGCCTCTAACTAAATTGTGCTGGAGTATAAGTAGGTATTTGATTTACAAAATAATAATAATAACAGATCTAAATTCTAATTTCATTTAGTTATAATTCTCTCACTTTATATCTCTCTAGTAATAATAATATACTTCATACTCAAAACAACGCTGAGGAGAATAATAAGCGCATTGTGGGTGCAGTTGTACTTGAAGGAAGAAGTTTTCACTAATACTACAACTACTTTTAGTTAGTAACAAGTAAAGTTAACGTCGGAACTTACAGGAAAAATGTTTAGTTTAACAATAAAAAATATTTAATTTAAGAAAACTCAAAAAAGAGTAAATTGAATTTGTTATCACTTTTGTAAACTAAAAGTGCATAAATAATGATAATTATTCTTCATCCCAGAAATTAAAAGTCAAGAAGATGAGTATCAGAGAGATTCAATTCAATCAACAAATTGTTGAAATCAACAATCAATTAAATTTTGCCTGATGTACAAGTTCAGGAAATTTTACTTTTGGAAAAAAATGTTTTATTTTTAATCATTTTTTCAGTAGTTGGAGATTCAATAGATTTTTAAAATTAGGGTTTTTTGATTATTTTTTCGTCTTATCAACTCTTTGTGGGTTAAAAAGCTGAAACACTTTGGATTGTAAAAGTAATATTGCATTAGCAATTTTTTTTAAGAATAACAAAGATTTTTCCAAATCCCATGCAAGCCAGTAAAGCCACTAAAACACAAGGGGTTACACTTACACTACAGGTTGTCGAAGAATTAGGAACAGAAACATTAAAGTGGAAAGAGTAATAAGTAGATAGTGATTGACATTGCATTTAAATGTCTAGAGATTAAAGTTGACTGGAAAGCATGGAGCTGGAAGGGAGTTCCCAAGTAAGAAGTGCGAGAAAAGAAATTCTCAGCTTAGAACTTAGAACTACATCTAGTCAGCTCAACTGTAAATTGATCAGATCTCAATGCCAGTCTAATATTGCGCTTAAATTCATACAGTCTGAGGTACCATAGTGAAGAGCTCATCCGAACAATTACCATGAAAGTATTTATAAAAAATGGCACGGAGAGGCAACCTTACAGCGGTGGAAAAACAACCAAAGCTGAGCCACCAGATCAGGACCAATAATATTGCTGATTCTTTGAATTTTATCAAGGAGTTCAAGGACACCAGACCATATGTGACAGCAATACTCCAAGCATAGATGAATGGTAGACTTATAGATATGTCATAGATTCTGGAGAGAAAAATTGTATTGCATGACATAGTAAATTGACTTTCTTAGCAGCTGACCTAGCAATGGATTCAATATAGTCTTTCCAGTTCAGAGGATAAGCCTGAGAAGGCACAACAAATCACTTTCCTTGAGGTTAGCATCAGCCATACTGATGGAAGGCAGGGAGGGGGCTCTCAGATGATTAATGGAGCTGTAATTCATCCCAAGGTATTTGTATGTAAATGAATGAAAAGAACCCAACTCAAATTTGAACTTGCTTCTCCAATTTCTCATTCTGAGCCATTATCCACCAGCAGATGTTAAAAAATTAAGGAGGCAAATAGAAAAGAATTTTGGTATTTTGAGTGTGTTTCTTGAATTAATAAATTCAAATTTAATGTTTTCAAAAATTAGCAGCAATATTAAAAGATTAATAGTTATTTGCATGTAAATTAAAAGGGGATAGAATTTTGTATGTTTCTTTTGTTATGTGCCAACTCCTTTCAGGACATTGACAATTATGGCTCTCCACAACTTCCTATTTTTTGTTGCTCAAAGTAATTTTTTTACCTTTTTACTATCTCTCTTTGTCTGTATTCTGCCATCAATTCACAGAAACTAGTTAGGCATGTTACTTGCTATTTCCCTTCATTTCTCTTACCTTCAGTATAAAATGTGAGTGTTAAATTCACCAAGCCTTCTTTCCCCCTTATGTTATAGTGAGTCACAATAAAAATAAAATATAAAAATAAAATATATAAACAAAAATGAAAAGAATCCAAATTAAAATAAAGCAATAGATTTTCTTTCAAAACCCTTATCTCTCTCTTTCTTTCTTTCTTTCTTTCTTTCTTTCTTTCTCCTTTCTCTATATACTTCTATCTCAACTAACAAGAAAGCAACCATCAAATAAAAAAAGGAAGAAGAAGAAAAGACTGAACCCAGCCGAAAAATGCCAGAAGTTTGCGGAGCCAGAGCCTACTTATGACTATAAATCCACCAAAATAAGACAGGCTTCACACATAACTTCTGTTATAAAAGAAAATGAAAATGAAAGGAATACCAGAAAATAAAATAATTTTGGCCAATCAAAAAAATTAACACAAAGAGACTTTTGATGTTAGCCAAAACCAAGGTTTGCACCAGAGTCTCAGGGCATGGTCAAAAAGCTATAAGTTCACACCTCTGAACTAGACGAGGAGAAAGGATGGCAAGAGAAACCATGGAACAAGAGAACGCAACCACGGAGAAACCAGCTCTATGTATGACACATGAAGTAGTTAAGAGGTTATTTGCTAATGATATTTTCTGCTCTTTTGAGGGCTGAGAAAACACAATAGATTGACACTGACATATTTCTAATGTTACTATTATTCTGAGCATGGTCTGACTTAAAAACTACTGCTAGCAAACTGAAACGAACATTTCTCCAGACTGCTACCAATATCTGCCTTATTAATGAACATTTTGCTACACTAAATACAAAAGAACTCACTCTAAATCAAATAAATAAAAATATATTATTTATTTTTAGTCAGTTCATTTTATACCAAAGTTTTCAGAAAATAAATAATAAAAATTACCCCCAGCACACTTCTGATTGTCAGTATTAATTTCTTTGTAGTTCCTGTTCTTAAAACTTCCTCATTACCCACATATCCTGGTCATGGTATTCTCATCATCTATTTGGAAGAGATTAGAAATGACAACAGTTCAGCAGTGTTTTCTATATCATTGCAATATTTTCCTATGCCTTAATACTTTGCTTAGCTTTTGGATACATCTTTCACTATTTCTTTGTACCATGTCACATTTTCCATCATCAGTTATTATACTTGTTAGGATCCATCTACCCAGGTTTTTGTTGTTATCTTAGTGTCAGGATTCGAAACATTTAACAAAAACAACACATCTTTTAAATGAAACATATAAAAGGTTTATTTTCTTGAGGAAAAGTAGAAGCAGAACGTCAGTTGAAATAACATTTATGTATTCTTTTCAGAAATATGCAATAACAATAAAATGTTCAATTTACTTGCAATGAAGTTTGTTTTATAAAGTAATTAAGTGTTCTTAGTGTGTTATGAAATGTGTGGACAGACTTAATATATTTGTGAGCTTGTCAACAAGGGCTTAGTCGGCAAAAAGAATATGTCTTTTCACTATGAAAAGTCACCGAGAACAAATTTTGCTCCGCCTGTAATTATCATCAGGTGGCAGTAATTCAAAATCTTGCTGCCTGTGATTATCATCAGGGGCCAGTAATCCCACAACCTATATATCTATCTCAGTCTGTTCATATCTAGCTATTTATCTATCTATCTCTCAATTTATCTGTGTAGAGAAATAGATAGATAATGTAGACATAGAAATCTCCAGTAAATGTAAACACAGTATATTTAAATAAATAGCACAAAAATTGTGCTTCTGAAAAAATTCTCCTTCCCCACAAAATATGGTCAACATGATTTTCTATGACAAAAGAATGGTGTACCAGTGTAATTCTGGAGATACGATTGATTAATTTTTTTATTTAACAGTACATCATTTCCTTATGAGTCATTTAATGCCAAAATATAATTTTCTTGGAAGCTTTGAAGTAATAAAAACATCATATATGTTATTCTGCTTTCACAGTTGAATACATGGTAAATGATACTCAGCTTTTGTGTATACACATGTTTGTGTGGATATGATTATTAGAGGCAGTGATATGCATGTTTTATGTTGTGGTTCTGTAGAAGTTATGTTTTGGAATACAGTTTGATTTCTTTAAGAAATTGTAGGATATCATATGGATTAATGTCATGAAAGAGTTTTTTCATGTTGGTTGGTTGGTTGGTTGGTTGGTTGGTTGATTTTGTTTAGCGGCATATCAACACTTCTATGGGTTATTTAATGCCGAAATCTAAATATTTTCAACACAATTTTATGGCTTCAACTAAATATTTTTTAACATAATTGTATGCCTTCAATTACAGATTAAATGTATTGTTGGTCATTTTGCTATAAAATGTGTTGTTGGTAATTTTACTATAAATATGTATTTTTATACTTTCATAGTGTTTTTTTTTTTTTTTTTTTTTGGAGGTTCATTATTTGCCCATAGCCTGGACCCTAAAAGGTGCTACCACCCCGGGTCAGGTAGCACCTTTTAGGGTCCAAATCATAGGCTTTGCTGCCGGATGTAGTTCGTCGTCATGCCCAGGACTAATGCCTTACGAGATGATTGTGTAATTAATGTGCTTAAGGAAGAAATAGAGCATTATTAATTAACAAAGGAAATTAATTTTTAGGGATTTGCTGATATGGTATCAGAAAGTTAGTAGACATGTACGAACATTAGTGTCATCACTGTCAACTCTCAACACTAAATCACACAAGATTTGCTCTCCTCTGAACTACATGTAACAACAGGCGCTTGAATAAATACGAAAGAATAAAAGATAAAATATAAAATAAAATATAAAAATCACATCTGTATTCATACAGATGTGATTTTTCTTTTAATTTCCGATAATTTCTAAAAAAAAAATAATGTTTAACCTAATTTGGGATATCCTCAAACAAAAAATGTCGAAACCCACTATTTTTAAAACTTCATTTTCATAAATTT